GGTGCATAGTTTGGCAATCACTGCTTTAGACAATTGGTTTAATAAGCTATTACAACTGGATCTTTCCGTTCTCTTACCTCACTTGTTCATTGGCTTTTTCAATGTGTGACTTAAATAAATTTGTATTTTATATATTTGTCCGGTAGTGTTATATATCTAGATCAAAAGAAATTTGATATAATTTAAGGTGAAATGTCCTATAATTACATTATTATTTTAGATAGATTTTTAATATTTTTTTAATTTTATATTTATGTTATCAATGAAGCTCTAATTAATGCGTTTAAGTAACTGAAAAATTAAAGACCACTCCTTTGGTTTTTGCCACAAATTTATTCCCTTTTTATTATATTTCTTATCTTTACTATATAACTTAGCTGTTTCTTCTAGTTGGAGTTTTCAAGCGACAAAAGTTCTTATAAATAAAATCAATATGGTATTTCTTACATCTTTTGACGATTAAGCTGATTAAAGCGCAATATTGTAATTAAGCCCATAAAATTTGTCTGATACTTCAAAGTATTATAAATGAATGAGAGTTATAAAGCACTCATTTCAATTTCCTTTTTATTCTTATTCTCATTTAGACCTGATTTAATCGATATTCGACTGGCAGAACAGAAGTCAACCTACGAGAGACTTGAATTAGCTCTTAGTCTGGCCGAATCTGAGCTTAAATTGACTCGCCTTCTGGATCCAGAGGGTTAGAAATAATTCACTCCTTTTTATTTTGTTATTTCTTCTGACATCTAACTTCTAGTCTGCCTTAGTTGAATTCACAGTTCTTGTTTATTTAATCATTTATCGCGTAAATTGTCTTGCAGATATACACCTGATTATTTATTAATTGGTTTACCCTAATAAATATCTGTCATGCCAATATTTTATTCATCTCATATGTGAAAGCATATATTTGTACTTATTGATAGGTTGTGGCCTTACAGTCTTCATATTGTTCCATATAATTGTATTATTGCACTCCATTGTATCTTACCACATAGTTTTACTTTGCTTCACTTCTGAGTCTCACGATGTCACTGACTCTTGTACTATTTTATTATATTTTTACCTTGTTAACCTACTCATATGTCCTGTTTATTATATTTTGGGTTAAGTCTGATTAAGCACAATAAATTGATTCAATTTTATCCTCCGAATTTTCTTTACAAATTCCTCATGCCTTATTTATATAACTAAGTATCGGATTGTAAGAATTTCATACAACGTCTTATATGTTTATGTTGGAATGAGGCCTTTGATTAGTCTGTTTTCTCCATGATCTTCCTTTCTTTTTTTACTTCAGACTTTATTGATAAGCCCGATGAGAGGTCATTGATCACCTATTTGACCTTGCTCTACAGCGTCCTGGTCTCTCCACAGCATCAGAACCCACGGCATCCTCCTCATGTCCATTTTGACTTCTTCCAGTTGACTCCCAATCCGTCACTTTTAAACAGCCCTGGTACTCTAGCCACCTCAACGCCTCCCTCTATTCACAATCTATCTATCCTAAATTCGGGCTCCTGTGCTTCAGCTACAAAATCTCCCAGCGATTCAGCTGATCCGAATAGCTTTCAGTCTTATCTCAAGGATGTGAATCAGCGCCGCATTGAATACACTAACCTTGCTTCTGACCTTGTTCAATGGATCCGAGCCACGGAAGACCGCATGGTCACTAGTAAAGTTCCTGGCGACATGGCTTCTCTGCGTACTCGTGCGTTGGCCGAGCTTGATAGACATAGGCGGGAGGAGCGCCCTATTCGAGAACGTCAATTTAAGCAGTTGGCTAGATTATTTAATGAGATACAGGTGAGAACTTTTCTTATATTTGTTCATTTCAAATACAACGCATAGTTTACATTCGTAATGCTTTAGTATAAAAAATTAAAATGTCATAGAAGTTGTTTGACCTTGTTTTCACAACTTAGTCATATTAGTAGGAAGACTTAAAGGAACGCACCTTGTCTAAGTCCATTTTATGCATAATTATTTCCAAAGTCGGACCGTGGACGTGGTACATTCCCAGACGTTTCCCCGGCATCGTCAGTGAGTTTTACCATCTTCCAATCACGCCTTCACTGTCACAATATTTTACTTGATTAATTAAATGTGGTACGGGGTGCCCTTTTGAGCGGCTTTCATCAGAACCCTCCACACTCCACGCTGGCTTTCTCACTGCCCTTTATCCTTGTGCTGGGAATGTTGATCGGAGTCGGCCATATTGTTACGCAGTCCTCTTTCCCTAGGTCTTACCACAGTCTCTATCTTGCCCCGTAAGATCCTTCTGCCCTCTCTGGTTCACATATTTCACTCGACCTCTGCCACCCCATCTGTGCCAACTTGAGGTGTTATTGGCCCTACCATGCGTCTGGGTGACTAATTCGAGGCTCAAGCCTTTAAGTAAGTGTCATGGTCAGACCTTTGCCACATGGACCACGTCTCTCTGTCAGCTCACTAGCTCCCATCGTCGCCGCGTCTATCCTGTTTCTATCTTTAATACCAAATCTATGACCTAGCATAGAAAGTCATAAACTTGGTATCATAGATAGAAAGAGGATAGAAAAAGTGGAAGCTAGAGATGGTTGGCTAACAATAGTCGTGATTCCAGGATCACTTCTATGATCAAGCACAACTATTTTTAGCCAAATTATTTTAGTCTCCACCGTATCTTTCCTATTTCTATCTGTGATACCATGTCAATCACTTCCTACGTCCTAGTCTCTTGTGTGCCAACCCAAAAATGGCATAATTCTACTTGTTTTGATAAGTCTCACTGAAGACGTATCCTCTTTGCTTCTGATTCTTCCTTTCTCATCCCCTTGCGATCTCTTATCCTAAAATTAAGGATATTACCTTGATCTAGTCGTCTTCTTTTTGCTGATCTTGCTGTTGCCTGGTCTTCTTCGAGTTTGTTTAGGCAATGTGCAAAGTTTTTGCTGATCCTGCCTTCTTCAAGTCTCCTGTTCATTACATTTATCTTGGTCAGTATTTTGATGATCTGATTTTCATAAAATCCAAGTTGAAATCGAACCTTTATAATCTCTACATTTTTTTCTATAAATGCTCTGGAATATCCGTTACTAAGGCAAATCCGTGTCAGTTTGTCTAACTCCTCCCGCTTTGTATCTTGTGGATATTAATCCGCTATGTTGACAACTTCCACCATAATATCACTAAGAATGTTTCCTTTATTACCCGGTGAAAAATGTAACCCCTTCTCTAACAGATCCGTAGTTTCAGAATCAAGAGGGATTGAAGATAGGTTTACTACCTTTGTCCTATCGTCGTCTGTAGCAGTTGATTCCTTCAATAAAGAACCATCAAAATTTGCCTGGGTTGGCTTAATCTTGCGCTGTCTTAAGATACCATAGCTAAGCAATTTCTTGTCATGCCTCGTATTTATCAGATCCCGAATTCTCTCTGACTTCTGGTCTGTCATGTTCTGAACTTTTTGAAAACCCTACCAAGATCCTTCCTTAATCTAGACTTGAGATCTATGCATTTAAATAGCTTAAGCCTCTCAGTCTCGTAACTTTCCTGTAATTTCTGGATAGAGGCGTGATAAAGTATTTCATTAACTGTGTCCGAATGACACTTCCTCATTAGATTG